AAAAGTTTTAAGAAGTTTTGTAAAGTTCAGCAGTGAAGTGATTCCGCAAACAAACAAAGGTCAAATTGAAAAAATTTTGTCTAATTTGTATCTTAAATATATTTTTAATGTATTAATTTATATAAAAAATAAAAAATTTTGCATTAGTTTTAATTCTCATACTATTTTAACATTTTTAATTTGATAATTGGTAAAATTAATATCAATTTTTTTTTTATTTTAAATGTATATTAATTAATGATAAAAATATATAATTAATGTGTACCTTTAATACGAGCAGGCATAGAGAGAAAAACCCAATTGAAAAATCCGGGTTTCGATTTATGAAACGATGCCGTTAGCCCAATAAGATCATTGGGCCAGACTTTGATCCGCTAAGTAAATTACTCAACCCAGCCCAAGAAATAAAAAAAATAGTTTTTGAAAAGTAAAAATGGTAACTGAGGCGAAGGTGATGTTCATGGAGGCTGTGGAATCAAAGCATACCTGAGTGGTAGATTCCTGACGGCCTACCAAGGAAGAAATGGAATTGACTAGCAGGTACAGCTGCAGCAGTTTTTCTCACTCTTTCAATCCCCGATCTGTTTTGTCTCTTTTGGGTTTATTTATTTCTTTATGTTTCTTCTTCTTCTTCGAATCAGGTTCTGACCTTCTGCAAATTCCCTCATCCAATGATCCAACCCCAATAAGAAAGTAGACTCCAACAACCCCACCATCTCCATTCTTCAATTACCCCACCAAATAATAAATACCTTGTTTGTTTCTTCAACTTCTCTTGTTTACTTTAAACTTTTGGGATCCAAAATTTCAATCTTTTTTGGTCCAAAAAGTTTCAAGTGATCATAGTTTTTCTTTCAACTTTAGTATCATTTTTTCTATTTACATGTTTCTAGAAATCCCAGAAGTATAAACCTTTGTTCTACTGTGTCTTCAGTGTTCAAGCTCTTTTTTCTCTATGATTTCTGTTTTCCTAGTTTTGGTAGATGTAGGTGGGAAGTGCTATTTTCTTGGGTGGATATATCATGTTTGGTGCTAAATTTTTCACCTTTTCCTTTATTAATATGCACTTCACATGTTGGTAATTTAGGTGCATCGGATCTTCATTAAAGATGCTTTGTAAACAGAGTTAAAATCCCAACTCAAATTCCCAGAATCTTCTTGATTGACCAATATCCCAAGTTCAAGTGTTCCTCAAATTAGAGATACCCCATTGGGGTTCAGGAAAAAAAAGGGATATCCAATTGGTTTTTCATTGCATATGATTTCTATCCTTATGATAAATATGAAGTTATTGTGGGTTTGATTCATAGGCCTCTATGTCAATCATCTGTTGCTGTCCCATCATTGAATGTGTGTACTTTTTGGCTTGTATTCGTTGGTTATGGCAGAAATGCCTCTACACTGCAGGCCATGAAAGTGAACGCTGGGGTTTAGCCACAGCAGAAGAATTTGAGCCTGTGCCCCGTCTCTGTCGCCTAATTCTTTCTGTTTATGAGGATGATCTTCGTAATCCCATTTGGGCACCCCCTGGAGGCTATGGTATTGATCCTGACTTCATTATCTTGAGAAAAGACTATGAAGAAACCTTAGGCCGAGCTCCTCCTTATATTATTTACCTTGATCATGCTAATGCTGATATAATACTGGCTGTAAGGGGACTTAACTTAGCAAAGGAAAGTGATTATGCGGTTTTGCTTGATAATAAACTGGGGCAGACAAAGTTTGATGGTGGTTATGTGCATAATGGGCTATTAAAGGCAGCCGGATGGGTGTTTGATGCGGAGGTTGAGCTTTTGAGGGAGTTACTTGAGAGGTATCCCAGTTATACTTTGACCTTTGCTGGGCATTCCCTAGGGGCAGGGGTGGTAGCATTGTTGGTGATGATTGCGGTTCAAGATCGTGGCAAGCTCGGAAACATTGAGAGGAAGCAGATTAGATGCTATGCCATAGCTCCTGCTAGATGCATGTCACTGAATTTGGCTGTAAGATATGCAGATGTAATTAATTCTGTTGTGCTTCAGGTAAATCATACCATTCCTTTATGTGCCTTGCCAGTAGAATATTGATTTTTGTGGCCAAGATTTATTGATGCACTTGTTTACATGAAATATGATAATCCAATTGTAATGTAGATCAATATAAATTGATTAATATTATTTTCTTTCCAGACATATTGTTTCATTTATAACCTGTATCATTATGTTCTAATATGAGTTATTGCAATGAACCAGGATGATTTTTTGCCACGAACAACCACTGCCCTGGAAGATGTTTTCAAATCACTGTTCTGGTAAACGATAGTATGTCTTAGTCACCTTTTCAATATTAGCATTCTGAGTACTGATGATGTAAAATTGTAGGGAAGATGACTTTCAGAAGCAAATACCCTAAATTTTACAAATGAGCTAATACATGCACTCAAGAGGCTGATTTTGCATCTTTAAATATGCAGCTTGCCATGTTTGCTTTGCCTAACATGCTTGAAGGATACATGTACTCTGGAGGAGAAGATGCTCAAAGATCCTAGAAGGTTGTATGCACCTGGTCGTCTGTACCACATTGTTGAGAGGAAGCCCTGCAGGTATTACAAGATGTGCTTTTTGGCATACTTTTGCACTTACTCAAAGGGTGGATCAATTATCAGTATGCTTATTCCTTCCCCCAACCCCTGAAGAATAATAATGTTGATTTGTTAAGAATGCTACTTCTGCTTGGCCTAATTGAGTTAAAAGAGAAGTTTTGTAGTCATAGAGAGAGGTGTAGCCCTTTAAAAAGAGAGTATTAAGTCTAAGCTTTTGTAAAGGGGACTATATCTTATCCTTGAAACAATTAGTCATATCTTGAGAGGGATTGCCAAGGATTGTTGAAACAATGGCTTGTTGTTCAGTGGTTTAAACACAGTTCAAATTCGCTTGGTTGCAGGATAGGAAGATTTCCCCCAGTTGTGAGGACGGCAGTGCCTGTTGATGGAAGGTTTGAGCACATTGTTCTTTCTTGTAATGCAACCTCTGATCATGCTATTATTTGGATAGAGAGAGAGTCCCAAAAGGCCCTTGATGTAAGTTTTCAGCCTTTCCTGAACTCTGTAGAGTTGCCTGCATTAGCAAATCATCATATCCTTACATATTAAATGGTAGAATGAAATGGTTAGATGTTGAAAATCCAACAAGAAGTTTAGTTCTTACGGCAAAATTTGAAATGCTACCTGTCTTAAATTCAGATGATGCTAGAGAAAGATCAGATCATGCAGATTCCAGCAAAGCAAAAAATGGAGCGGCAACAGTCTCTTGCTCTAGACCACAGTGAAGAGCACAGGGTGGCTATGCAGAGGGCAGTCGCTTTGGATATCCCTCAGGCTTATTCACCTCTTTCATATGGAACATTCCATGAGATGGAAGAAGGGGAGACTTCTGGCCAATCAAGTGGGGATGCTCACACACCTTTCTTGAAGAAATGGAGTGAAAGTTGGGATAATTTTGTAGACCGTCTTTTCGAGGTAGATGAGTCTGGTAAAATGATATTCAAAAGAACAAGCTCAAAGAAAAGCTCTGACTCCTCACTTCAGCCTCCATAGGAGAAAGAAGCTGTAATTGTCTGCCATTTTCACCCATTCTTCTGTGGAATTCACCCTCCTTGTGGAAAATCAGGTTACAATTGTAAAGGGTTCTTTGTGTTCATTTTGATGGCATATGTTGATAATTAGAAATTCATAATGTTCTCAATTCCAAATTGTAACACAAGCAATTATATCTTCTGCCAAATTAATAATTTGATCAATGTACAGGTCAGCCTATATCTGGGAAAACTGGTTGCTTCATAGCTTCACCATTCGTAGCTTCGTATCCCTCTTTTGTGTAATATGAACCCAATGGCATTTTTTTTTTTTTAACGTGAAGACTAAATTTATAATTAAGAGTACAAATACTTTTATTATTAGATGACATGATAAATGGTTTTCATTTTTTTATTTTTTGGTATGTCAAAAAATTAATTATCAAATAATATAAAAT